AAAATCTCAATTTTGGTTGGAAAGTTCTTGTAAGGTGATTTTAATAGCTTAGCCCCCATATATGAATTTCAAGCCTATAAGAAAATATTATAATTGATAAATTTTTTATATAGTATTCTGTAATTTTTTATAATTAATAATGACTATAATAAATCATTTATTAGGCAAAATATCATTTATCAGGCATTAATATTAACAAGCATTATTTGTATTAATAAAATTGCATTAAAAATTTATATATAGGGACTCTCATAATAAAGAGGATGAGAATTCCAATTGGACTTTAAGATTTTGTAATAGCTATATGCTTAATGTGCTAAACTTTTTTGGAACTAACTATTTTATTTATATTATATTTTTGTAAAGGCATATGATTTTTCATCCTCTTTTTGCAGTAAGAGTTCCCATATAGAATAATTTATATAATAAGTTTTTTTTTTCTTTCTTTTTTTCTTTTTATTTGTATTTAATTTAGATGAAAATTTTTGCAATAGCCTTTATTTTTTTATTTAATAGTTGTGAAACTATACTAAAAACTATTGGATGACTATATAATTTAAACTAAATATAATATAAAATTTAAATATAATAATATCGTTATCATAAAAATGCAAAAATACTACATAACTGAAATAAGAATTTTCATTTGTTATTTTAAGATAATTACGTATTCAGCTAATAAACTGTAACCTAAAATTGTCATTGCTTCAACTTCATCATTCTAACATTAATATTAATTGAATTGCTATATTACATTCTGAATAATTAGACTATAGAATAATATAACTTATTAGAAACCTTTAAATATCCTAATAAAAAATAAATAAAAGAACTATTATATATAATATATCTGTCACAAGAAAGATTTGTAGATATATATCTAAAAAATAGTAAATAATAACTTAATCACAAAACATTAAATAAATCACTTATTTACACTGATCAAAATTAAAAAAATCAGACATGCGAAAAATCAGCCTAAAATTGGCCTAAAATCAGCAAATTATCAAAAAACCAGTCTAGCTGATTGGCATATATTAGAAATCGGCCAAGAATTGGCTAAAATTCAACCTATCTTATTTATAACCGATTAGTATATGTCAAAAATCAGCTAAAATTCAACCTATCTTATTTATAACCGATTGATGTCTGATTTACATCTATTGATATACATTAAAAATAGATTAAAATATTTCAAAATAAAATAAAATTCAGAAGGAAATATAAATGATATTTAGGATTAACAGCCAAATAATACTAAAAATATTCAATTTATTTTTACAAATAGTATTTTTTATTAATTAGATTAACAGCCAAATATTCTTTTGTATTTCGCTAGGCTGAAATTCAATAGTTAATCAGTACAAATCGATCCAAAATATGATGAACTAATATTATACAATTATAACTTTCTGAATAAAATTCAGTATTCCATAATTCGACATTACATGTTTCTTCTTCGCTAAATAATACTATATATTTGAAGAACTTGTAGATTTATACCAATGAATAAATGCTAGAAAATGTTTAGCCTTTTCAAATTGTAAATCGACCTTATGTGTAAAATAATATTAGACTTGGTCAGGATAACAATCAACTGTATCATCATTTATAATAAATTTGACTAAAATATACGAATTTTTACATATCGTAAAGACATTGACAATCTAAAAATTTTAGAACCAATTTAACACCTTCTAAATTGATTCATTTTAACCTAAATCATTATACCATCTTCTGAATCCTTATTAAATGGCTTTCTAAATCAAATGTAGTATAAATCGCATTGTAGTATTCAACTATCAAATCAAGCATTTCTCTTGAAATAATTATATTATCAAATGATGGTTTAGGAATTTGCCAGATAATGGTTCACTACCAGTAACATTTGATTCCTTAATATTTCGTGAATTTATCTAAAATTGATGGATTTTATCAAAAGAAAATTCGTCTATATCTGAAAGAAAACCAATTGAAGGCTAATTGTCTAGCAATTCAAACCCTTTTATCTCAATACCACCAGAACTTATAATACTGTTACGGTCAGTTCTTTAAGATGCTTATGAGTGATAAGTGAAGCAATATTTATGGGTGATAAGCAGAAGGTTTAATTTGATATTTAGATTTAGAAGCGTGTTGGTAAATTAACAGTTTATTTAATAACTATAACAATAGAGTACTGCCTCAGTCGGCACTCTGTACTATACAATTATGTTAGAGGGATTAAACCAAACTATTATATAAAACTATATGTCAGACACCCTGCTAAGCTAAAAGAAATGGTCCTTTATTTATATAAAATGAAAAATATAAAGTTATCAAAGATATAAAAGAAATAAATACAATAAATAAAAGATATAAAATATAATAAATATATGAGATAAATAAGATAAAATAAATAAAAGAAATATATGCTATAGACGATATAGATGACATAGAAGACATATATGATTTCTTAGGGATCGACGTTATCCTTTAGATCATCATCATCCATGTCTTCTTTCGTGTAATAATAGGTTTTCAAAATGAGAAAAAGAGAAGAAACCGATTTCAATCAAGGCTGATATATTTTCTGGAATTAAAGCTATATTTACTTTTGACATATGTTCACCGAAATTATAGTCTTAAGGAAAAACTTCTATTAGATTGAGACATCTGATATCTGGATTATTCATAAATGAAGAGATCTTTCCTGAAATGATCTGATATGTTTGGTAAAAGTTAATATAATAATAAAATACTACAATATTCTAAAACAATACAAATTTACCATGTTTATAGCTTTTTGAATAATATTGTAAAAAGATTTAAAAATTGATGATTGAACTTTTGTTCAGAAACTAATTGCTGTTCTATATCATTCAAGTTGAATTCATTTTGAATAATCTATCGTAAAGTAATAGTAATAATATGATAGTTATCATTTATCATATTTTTATTTTTGTCTTTATTATCTTACTTAATCAAGATCGTTCTAGAACTAAAATCACATGAAAGAGAAATAGTGATCAAATATTCCTCTACTACTTCTTTCTATATTGATATTATGTTAGGTTCTTTGATTCTTCTAAGATGATTGAATAAACTAAGTGTATTCATGTTACTCATATCAATCATTTTATTAAGTTTCTTTAATACTTTTCAAGATAATCTCAAGATAGTGATTTTCAATTAATATTTTTTTTCTTAAAATTTTCCAGTTTTTGCAACGTGAATTTCTGCCTTACTTCTTTCTCAAAGTCAGTTTAGAGGCACTTTTTCCTGTAAAGTAAAAAGTAAGTAAACTATCTGAAATAAATAAAAATAATAATTTATACTTACATTACTAATAGCAGCAAATTTCTTAGTGTCTTATCACTAATTAATGCATAATCTGCAAGTACCTTTTGTTTAAGAGCTGCTCCTTGAGGTCTTTTGATTACAGGTAGAAAGGCTATCAAATTAACCATATTCATTTTTATTGTAGGTGTTCGTTTGATTCAACTTTAAGTCAATCCAAGAGGATATCATGCTCCTTCTGATAATATGAAATCTATATGACTTAAAAGTGCAACTGTGTGACAATTTTTACCTCTGTCTGGGCTAATTTTAATTGGTTTTTTACGTGTAGAGAAAATAATAATCCTAATTATGTAAAGATGAGTAATGGTGATAAGTAGAAGCAATTCCTTTAGAATAATATTTCTATTAGACATGCAAAGACAAAATTTATGAAGGGATTCATTATTGAGATATTGTGTAATTTGCTATCCTAAGGTAGGTTCTCTTTCTGCAGTGAATTTGGATACTACTAGACCCTAAAAAATGCAGCCATCTTGTTGCTTTTTAAAGGTTTTCATTTGCAAAAGGATTGCCAAAAGCTGAATTAAATACTTCATTCACTCTTGATATGAATTCACTATCAGGATCTTCTAAAAATATAAGGCTCTGGCCATTCTCTTTACAAAAATCTAGAGCTGGCAAGGAATCTACCATTCTTAAATATTTTGTTTATAAAATATAAGATGCAAGAGTAGTTAATTAATTGCTTAACAAAAAAAAATTTTTAAAGGTTATTTACATATTGATATACCTGTTTAACCATTTTCTTATTGCTTAATACTCTTTTTTATTTTTTATTACCTAATAAAATACTAGTGTGAGGTTCCATAAAAGTGCAAATAAAGTAAGTGATTATTTTCTGAAAATGTGAAATGGTAAAGGCTAATATAGTATTCAATTCTTTTATTTATGTATTTATAAATAATTTTGTATTGCAGAATGTTTTAATTTAATAATTATTAAGTAAAAGTGAAGTAATTGTGATAAGTATTTTATTTAATAATATCAAATTAATCAGTATTACCTTAATGTTAATATTCTACACTTTCGTAATATTAAAATATTAAACTAAATAAATTTCAATCAAAAAACTCTGATTAATTAAAACTGTGCAATTATAATTACAAAAAAAATTAAATAAAATAATAATAAAATCAGAATTAAAAATATAATAAAGTATATAAATATGAAATATAAAGTTTAAAATGGTGAAAAAATATTAGTAAAAAAGAATACATGCATCTAAAAGAATAATAATGAAAAGAAAGATTTACCTTATTTGAGAGAATGAAAATCACCAAAGAACACTTCTAAAGAATACTTATCTTAAGATCTGCTTCTAAATTAATAAAAAAATAAAATAAAAATAAAAATAAAAAAATTAAACAAAAAATAAAATGAAAAAAAATGAAAAAAAAAAAAATATAAATATAAAAAAAATAAAATAAAAAATAAAACAAAATGATCGAAATAATTTTTAGTTAGATATATAGAAAACTGATACTATACCAGTTTTCATATACTCTTAATTAAAGTTCTTAAACTGGATCTTAGGAGTCTAATTTATATTAGGTCTAGATCCAGTTTTCACGCTAATAAAAGAACTCAATTTCTTTCAAGTTACTTTAAATTGCTTTTAGTTTTGTTTAAGATTTTACAATATACTATATATATAAATTCTAACCACCTGACGCAACCTTCTTCAGGTCAATCATTATTAGGTCATCTGATAATACCACAAGGTCAACCACTAATTATAACACATAATATTTCAGAATCACAATTCAGAATCTAAAACGATCCAAACTGTCTAAAAGAAAGATAAAATTAAAATTAAAAAACCAGTTAATTAACAAAATTATAATAATAAAAATAAATAGAAGTCTTATTACAAAATTTCAAAATATCTAAAAAAAAAATAATAATAATTAGATCAAAAATCATAGAAAGTTGAAAAAAATCTACATATTGAGTAAAATAAAACTGTGATCGAATTTAATACAAAAAAAGTATTTGTTCAATCACTACGTCACAAATTGATTAAAAAAAGTTAAGAAAATAACTCTCATTATTCTTATAAAAAATAGGCAAAATTTTTTAACTTTTTTATTCTCGATGTAACTAAATATAGGAGAACAAAAAATCTTTCTTAACTATACAGTATAATGGCAAATATCTAACATATTGAGCATACTATTAAGGAATTATTTTAAAAGACTAATTAAATTCATTTGTTTGATGATACTTTATAAGGGATAAAAGCAATTCTACTTTTTCTTCTTATTTTTTATAAGTATTTATTATATATTTTTTTTGTATTCTATTAGAATATGAATATACTATTACATGAACTTAAGTATTATAAAGTGCCTTTAACTTAAGTCTAAATTTAATATGTTTCTTCTGTATAAATATGAGAATAAGTAATAAGAAATAAAGAAATTTCAAATACAAATCCTTCTCAAAAATTTTTTTTTTTTAAGAATTGAAATAATCAATTCGATTTGAAAATATATAATGTAATCATTTACCAGGTCTTTTTATTATACAATATTTTAATTTAAATTTAGCTTTAATCTCAATCATATTGTGACCATATCTTTTAATTGTTACTTGATCAATCTCGATACATTGAATAAAATAAAATATTCTAAAGTATTACAATATCAATAATTCTTTATAGTAATTCAAACCTCTAATTCCTTAATTAATAAAGGCTTTGGGTCAAAAACTAACTATAAAAAACTCTAACATTGTAATATAATTATAATAATTATGATAATCTTTTACTTGTAATTACAAAATAAACTTTAGTTATAAAAGTAGGTCTCAAGTCATTTAATTACGACTAACTAAGTTAAACTTGATTTTGATCAATTCAACAGCAGATTTAATTTAGATCTAAATTTTTATAAATCTTTTTTGATTTTCTTTACTAATTTTTTTTACAAGTTGATTATATTATTGATAAAAAAATCTTCTTTTTTTTGTTTAAACAAGCAATACATAGATTTATATAAATATAATTTTTTTATTTAAGTCAGAAAAGATGCATATTTATTATTATTATTATTATTATGCGAGAAATTCAAAAATTGATTTAATAGGAATTACATTTAAAAAGCAAAATTTTCAAAAGTTTGCATATTTTTTTCTACATTTTAATTGTCTATATAAATGTAAAAAACAGTATTTTCACGATATCATTTTTTTAACTAAATAAATAAATTAATTTATAATATTAGATTTTTTTTGTCATTTACATAATGCTATTAATAACTTTTTGTTTATTAATACTCTTCATTTTTGTTTTTTGAAGTTTTGTAGAATTGTTTGTTTTGACAGATTTAAAAGATCGAGTATATAATCTAAATTTAATTTGATTTTTAAAGCTAACTTTATTTGGTAAGACAAGAAGCAGTTAAAACATTTTTAAGTTATCCAAGTAGACTAGATAATTTATGGAAAATAAAAATGGTAGAAAATCTGAGTAAAATAGAGTTTTCTATTGATAAATTTCTATAAAATAAAGCTCATTCAAACTAAAAAAAAATAAATGATTTTAAAGACAGTTTAGAAAAAAAACAAAGATTTAATAATGAGAATTATGAAATTAGAGTAAAGTTACATTCACAATTCAAATATTTAGAAGAAATATTTAGAGAGCGAAAAGAAGATACCAAGGGTAATATTAATAATTTAGAAAAATATTAGAGAGAGAGAAGAAACTAAAGCCAATATTAATAATTTAGAAGAAAAGATTAGAGAATGAAAAGAAAAGTAAGAAATTATTAATAAGAATCAGAAGTCTTTAATCAATTGTTTATGATAATACTATTGATAGTTTTATTATTGGTAGATTTATTTATGATAGTTTTACTAGTACAGATACTAATAATGATAACATATTTAACATCTTAGATGGATTGCAAGGATATTAAAAATTCAATTGTAAAAATTCTTAAATAACAAGCTTACCAACATTATTCAACTCCTTAACAGATCTCTTTGTCATAAAACTCTTCTAATATTAAAACCTTTACATGAAGGTAAGTTCTAACGCAATAATTTAATTAATTTTTTTTATTTTTTTAAAAAAATACTAATATAAACTTACCTTGTAAAATAATCTAATATCTACAAAAAGGAAAGAGATAAGTAATTGTTAATGAAAATTGAAAAATTTCTTTTTAGTTAAATAGATGAATTAAAATGTATGCTGATATAGTAAATCTTAACTAATAAATTATTATTTTATTTTTTATTTTAGAAAAAAATTAGCTCAAAATTTTTCCTTTTATAATACTTTATTTCTTAAATAGTAACTGATAGAAGGTTAAAGATTAAAGTATTATTACTTTAGTTGAGACATGCTACAAATTAAGCATTTATTATTTAATTGTAATATAATTTATATATTATTTTTTAATAAAATTCAATAGATATTCTTATATACTATATTATATCAAATACAATGAAAATTAGGAGTGATCATTTATGGCTTAGAGTCTGATACATTCTCTTTCTTGTGAGTTTTAACCTGCTAAATCCAAATTGAATTATTTTGATTGTATTAATATGTTGGTTTTTCTAAGTTACTAAATTAGAATTTGAAATAATCACATTCAAACAATGTTAATGACTTAACAAAGTTTAATTAATAGTTTCACAATTGCAATTTAATTTACATATTTTTTCTAAATAATACTTGCTACCTCTACGTGGTGTTTAGGATTAACAGTTATAGATTATTTTATATCTGGCTAAATACAAGTACTGTATTATATTAAAAAATTTTTATTGTTTATATCATGCATTGCATTACATATTATTTATTATATTACATTATTTATTTCATGTTATGCATTACATTACATTTATTTATTATTTAATAAAAATTTTTATTATAAAAGAAGTTAGAAATAAAAAGTATTTTATTATTTATTTAAAAATTACTTATGGTATCTTATTTTATATTTAAATAAAAAATAAAAAATAAAAAATTTAAAATTCATTATGTCTAAATAATTATCTCATTAAGCATATGCATATTAAAATAAAGCTCTTAAGAATATAAATGATAATATAGATAAAATAGATGATTTAGATAATTTAAATAAAATTAATAGTTTAACTAATTTGTTTGATTTAACAAAATATAGAATACAAGGTCAAACAAAAGAATTATCTGCTTCAGAAAAATTTCATTATATAAATCAATTTTGAAGATATGTTGATCTTCATTTAGAAGATTGTATATCATCAAAAAATATAAAATAAAATGTGATATTTCTTTAAAAGATTTATTAATTTCAATATTAATTAGAGAAATAACACCTAAAAAAATATCTGAAGTTCCTTTAAAATATTTAAGTTTAATTGATAATATAATAAAAAATAAAATAATTAATGATGATGATGATGATGATGATGAAGAAAATGAAAAAGATAAACATGAAGATAAACATGAACATGAACATGAATATAATGATGATAATAATAATAATAATTATGATAATAATAATATTAATAAAAATTATGGAAATCATTTGGTAAATAGTTAGGTTTAAAAAAATTAATTAAAAAGAAAACAATTAGAAAATTTATTAAAAATAAATAGAGAAGACTTTACTATAATTTAAAAAATCAAAAAAATCAAAAAATAATATTTGATATTAATACTATTAATAAAAATATTATATTTAAATTGTTGAATAAATTAAAAAATTATTATTATTTAACTAAATCTGAATGTATTGTAGATCAAAATAATCAAACATTAATACATTTAGAAAATATTAATAATAATATTATTATTTTACAAGTAACAAAAGCTATTAATGATTATTAATTTTATACTTTAAATAATCCATCTCATAAAAGTGAATCTTTTTGGAAAGATATAGCAGAACATTTTGAAGCTTATAGAAAATATATTAGTTTTCCTTATATAAGTGCAGATATGGCAAGTAGTCATAATATAAATCATTTAAAATATGTAAATAAGTTAATTATTGTTTTTGAACCATTATCAAATTGTATTAATCAATTTGTCAAAGAGCATTATAATAATTTATACACAAAATTAAGCAATTTTTCTTGAGGTTCATTTGCATCAAAATCTTTTAGAATTTTTCCAATAATTTTAATAAAATAAGTGATTTTTATTAGGATAAAAATAATGAAGCCAATTGTTTTTGTATTTTAATTGCTTTAGGAGATTATAAAAAAGGTGAAATATATTTTCCTCAACTTAACATTATAATACCTTTAAAACTAAAACAAATTTTAGCATTTTATTCTCGTTTATTATTATATGATAATTGTATATTAAATAAAGGTATTAGACATAATATTATTTATCATTTATATAAAGTAATGTTAGGTTTACCAGAATCTTCTATTATTAAAATTAATAATAAAAGAAATAATTCTTCTAAAGATAATATACAAAAACTATTTAAAGTTCCTAAAAATTTGTCAATAAAGTAATTTAATAATCCAAAAAGATTTCAAACTAAAATGGAATTATCTAAAGATGAAAGAAGATCTAATATTGATAAGTAATATTTTAAATATTATTATATGAAAATTAAAAATAATTTAATTTAATAATAATTTTTTTTTTTAGATTTAAAAAAAGTTAGATTTGGTTTAAAAGCAAAAGATAAAATAAATTAAATCTTTTATAACTTTTTTTATTAATTAAATATATATTTTTTTTAATATCATTAATTTAATAAAATATATTTATTATTAAAATATAATAACTTTAAATTAAAAATAAAAATCAATTTTATATTTATTATAGAAATGAAACTAAAAATAAAAAAATGCAATTAAAAAAAATTTCAAAAGATAAAAAATATTAAAAAAAATAAAAAAATAAAATTTTTATTTAAAAATACAATACAAAATTATAAAATATATATGATATTTTACTATTACTATTACTATTACTAATTCTATCTTTAAAATATATATATTTTTTATTAGAATTTATTTATATTCTAAATAAAAAAAAATTTAATAATAATTTTAAAATGGAATTTATATTTAAATAAAATAATAAATTTTTTATAATAAACTTACTTACACATAAAAAAATAAAAATATTTTTATAAATAAAATATTAGATCATTTTATTAATATAAAAAATAATATTAAATAATATTAAAAAAACTCTAATCATCTTACGTTAGAATAAAAACTATAGAATTATTTTTCTTTTGTTCTTTTAATAAAGATATTAATACATAATATAATAAAGATAAATTAGTAATTATTATATTTTGTAAAAATAATAAATTTAATTACTAAACATTTATTTAATAATTGTACAGAAATTTCAGTAGATTGAAGATAATAATATTTATGAATATTAACCTTATTTTAATTAGAACATTTAAATATAATATATAATTCCAAAACTAATTTAATTAGTTTTAAAACTTTAAAGTATTCAATAAATATCATAATTAATTTCTTATCATAATTTTATCTCATTATTTATCTTTTTTTTTATAAATTATAAATTTCAACTAATAAGGTTATATTTGGGTTGATTGCTAGGAAAATCAGGTTCTGGGAATTTTTTAACAAAATTAAGATTTTTATTGCATTTTAGTTTTTGATGTTATTAGATTAAAATATATTAAGCTCTTAATTTAAGTGAAAAATTTCTCGGAACCTGATTTTCCTAGAAACCCTCCCATTTGTTTTAATAATTTAAATTTTACAAACATTAGCTTATTTTAAAGATTTGATATCCTAAATTTGTGATTTTATTTTAACAATTTTTTGACTAATTAATTATATTTTTCACATTTTTATATTTTTCTTTTTTTTTTATTTCTTTCGGTTTGTTTATTTATTTATTTTTTTTTTAATTCCCAATATTTTTTATTGAAATTTTTTTTTTAATTGATTTTTTTCTTTTTTTTCTTTGTTTTATATTTTATTATTATTTTTTTTTTATATTTTTTTATATTTTTAATCTTTTTTTTTTATTTCTCCTTATTTTTGTTTTTTTTTATTATTTAATCTTTTTTTATTATTTTTATTTCTCTTCTACTGGACTTTATTATTTTTATTTTACTCCCATCAGACTTTTTATTTTCTTTTTTTATTATTTTTTTTTAATTTATTTTTTTAAGTTTTTTTTTGTATTTCTTTTTTTTATTCTTTTTCATTTTTTTTTTGTTTTATTTTTTTTTGTTTTTTTTTGCAATTCGTTTTTTTATTTTTTATTTATATTTTATTTACGTTTAGTTTTTTTTATTTCATTTTTATTTTTCTTTTAAGATTTATTTTTTTTTTTTTTGCTTTTTTTCAAAAAATAAAATAAAAAGAATGAAAATAAAAATAATAAATTTAAAAAATAAATGCATACTAATGGCGAAGTAAAATATCATGTGATAAATACAAAATTTGGCTGTATCGTACTGGTTTTCCATATACTCAAAGTGAAAAAAAAATAAAAAAATGATCGGAATGATATTTGGTTAGCAAATGGAATTTAAATTATTATATTAGTCTATATGGCTTAAAAAAAAAAAAGTCAAAAAAAGTCAATTTGAAAAGGCCCTATATAATTATACTAATTACCCAAACTATATATATTTTGATTATGAAAAATGAAACTACAAAACAAAGTCTTGCCGAGATCATCATCATATGTAACTCGGATAGAGTGGCATTTGATCTAATAAAAGTGTGCTATAAAAAGTTAGAAGCCACTATGTTTATATTTCTTTCTGGTTTTTTTTTTTGCTTCACGATATTGACCAACCATTTTTCTCACAGAAAAATATATAATAAAAATTCAAATATTCCTCTTAATCTTTTTTTATTTCTTTAAAGTATGTCCGAGTCAAAAAAACTTGGTGAGCTTGTAGTTATCGCCATCAGGGCTGTAAGTACCTTAAATATGAAAAGAAACAGATCACGATCTCCATAAACTTAAGTACCGTTTCTCAAATTTAGAAAAACTTAGCTACTCGCGATATTATCGGTAAAGGAGATCCGTTTGTTACTTTTCGTATAGGTGAAGAAGCAAAAAGAATAAAGGCAGAAAAAAAGGGTGGACAACATCCTGAATGGGATGAAGAAGTACGTTTTGACCTTGTGGATAATCCAAACAACAAGAAAATGAAAATTCAGGTTCTTAACGAAGATAAAAGAGAACATATCCTTATTGGTGACTCTTTTATAGATTTATCTCAAGTTTTAGAAAAGGGAGAGTGGGATGGTAATTAATATTTTTTTTTTAAAAAAAATCAATAAAAAATCAATAATCTTCATTTGAAATACTTATCTAGTTTTAACTTAATTTAATTAATAGATTGGCACGAAATTAAATATCGTAACAAGTATGCTGGCGAGGTCTTCCTTGAGATGACATTTTATTATGCTGTAAGTTAATTTTTAATAATCGTATTAGGTCATATAAGAGATTGTAATTTTATAATTATTTATTAGGATGCACCGCCACCACAAAAACAATTGCAAGCACAACATCAACGACCACAACCTACAAGTGCACCCCCTTCTATACCTTTTCAACCTCCTCCACCTCAACCAAACTCTTACGGACCAAGCGCAACACCTTACCCTCCTGTTGTGACGAATCAACCACCTATGTCGGCTCCATCTGCTGTTGGATATCCTCCTCAAAATGTTTATCCTTCATCTCCTCCCCTATCTCAACCACCTCAATTCTTTGGTCCTCAACGGACTCAATCGCCTGTTTCTTCTCAATATCCACCAGTGGTATGGATATTATACAACGAAATGTTTTTTTTTTCTTTAAAAAAATCTTTTTTAAAGTAATTTTTAATTTTTAATTTGAAACAGTCAACTTCGGTATATCCGCCACAAGCACAAGCATCACAAGTACCAAATGTATACCCAACACAACAAGCACGAGGATATCCTCAAATGGGAGGAGCTTATCCGCCAATATCTTCTCCTCCTGAAAGCGGTAATCTAGCTTTTCCAGTACCAGTTCCGACCCCTGGTGGAGCGTCACCATTTGGCGGACCATATCCTTCATATAATGCATATCCTCCATCTTCAGACTTTAATACTTCACCTCAACCTCCTTCATCTGGCGGTTATCAACAATCTCCTTATCCACCTAATAATGCTTATCCTCCGTCATCCGGAGGAAGCACATATCCACCACCACCACAAAACACCTATAGTCAAGGTTACCCTTACCCGCCTAATCCTAATCCTTATCCGCCAAATGGTCCTTACTAATTATTTTAATGAATGAACAATATCATTTTAAGCTATTACTGAAGTTTTTGGATTTATATTTTGAAGAGTTGAAAGCATTTCTTTTTTTTGCATTATTGAATAATAAAATATTTTATTGTAAATTTTTTTTTTGCATATGATTAAAATTGAATCCATTTATTTATTTAATATAGAAAAAAATTATATATATATATATATATATTTATTCTTTTTCCTCGTTTCATATTATTTTATCATGTATTTATTTTTATTAAACTAAGGAATTAAATCATTCTCGCTTTTTTTATTACAATCAATGTAACTTATTAAATTAATAATATTATAATATACAGTTAGTTTATCAATTAATGATTAGATTTCCCAAGGCAATTTATCGGGGAATAATTGAGTTTGATTTTCAGGGCAATAGTTAAATAATGAAGATAATTCTGGACAACTAATTTGGTAAGGATGACTATTTAAAACAAATTTAAAAGAGATCTTAAATATTAATTGAATAGATTGATTTATAAATATAAATGTTGAAATTGCTTACCTTCTCCTATAAGGATTTCTAATCAATTTTTTCTCTAGTAATTTACCATGACAACCATATAAATCTCGTTGAAACGGTCCCATGGAATTAACATTCTAAGAAAAAGGATAAAAGGTAAAATGCAAAGTCAATTTTTTTTTTTTAAAAAAAAAAAAAAATAAAAAGAAATAATTTATTTACCAACTTACCTCACCAACAAATCTACCTAAAGGACTAGTATTATCCGGATCAATACCGATATATTTAAATCTATTTAGAGGAAATTTCAATGCATATCTATGTAATTCTACAAATCTTTTTTTTTTAAATTGAAAACCTATTACAGTTATATGTCTTGGATAGTTGTTTGTGTATTCATTGAATCTAGATATGGAAAATAACAAATTCTCATATGAATCTCTTGCGTATTCTTCCGTTATTATTCTCGTGATTAATGGATAATGATTTGTAGAAGTGTTGGTAGTTGATGTGAAATTTGTGGTTGAAATTAAGTTTAGCGATTGTGCTAATGCCTATAATAAAAAAAAAAAAAAAAAAAATTTCAATAAATAATTTTGAAAATGAAGTTTAAAATACCTCTCGATATAAACTTACGTAATAACTCTGCGCTTCACTTCTTGGTCCAGCAGATGGTCTAGTTTGTCCCCTTTAATTAAAAGTGTATACATCATTAATATTAATTTAATAAAAAAAAAAAAAAAATCATCAAATCATCAAGTGATTGAATTCCTTACCCACTAAATATTAATAAGGCTTCCTCATTTTCTTTAACCAATTCAACTCCCTTCTTAATATGGTTAATAAAAGTATTAACCTGTCCACCTTTTTGAAATTCTTCTAATACCCAATTCTCATCTTTTTCTTCATCCCCTCCTTGATTATTACCTAAATAGATAGCGTGTCCGGCCACAATTATTAAATCTTTTAATTCGGGATGTGATGCATCGGGCAAAAAATTTTGTTTTAACGAGTTATCAATTAAATTTTCTCCTCTAACTGAAGGTTCCGATGTATCTGTCAAATGATAACTTGCAAAGTAATATAAATTAATCGTTACCGAAATAATTATTAATATACCAAAGAGTCCACTCTTTTTTATTAAGAATTTATTATTAAAGAAATTTAATGAAAATTTTGATGTCGTTGAATTATAATTATACGTTGGTAATAATGGTGATTTACGTTTTTGGAAAACCATGCTTTAAAAGAAAGTAAGAAAGAAAGTGGAAGGAAAAAAAAAGAAAAAAATCGAGAGATTTTTAGAATATGAAAATGAAAGAAAATTAAAAATGTTTTGCTTGTGGTATCACCAACTCGAGAATGATGTACATTTTATAGCTTATTAGAACTGGGCCACATGATCGACTAGAAAAGAAAAATATATAAAGCAATTAATTTATTTAATATATTAATCACCAAAAGTAAAAATTTCTCATCAGATGGGGAATAACGAAAATGCGATAATTATATTCCTCAAAATTAAAAATTTAATGCCCTATATTACAGATAATGAAATTGCTCATTCTTGTACGGCACAGTAGGAGTCGCCGCGCAACATGTTCCATCACACATTCTATTACATATCGACAAAATGAATGCTAGTGCACGATAGTGCACGATCGGATTTTTAAAACCAATTCACCGAATATGTCTTTACCCTTCAAAACAAGACCAATTTTCCCCGATTTATTTCAGAAAAGCCAACTTTAAACAAAACGTACTGAAAGAGATCTTTGACGACCTTCTTCCTCGCTGTTTGAAATTTATTTTTGCTAATAATAAATTAAAAGATTTGGTAATAATTACGTTACAAATCAAATGATTTACAAATATATATAATTCATATGAATTTCCATTAAACAGGTGAAATCTTTTGATGGGGCGCATGACCAAGATCGAACTTGTACTAGGTTATCCCGTCCAATTTAGGCTTATCAAATTTTGTTCATTACTACCAAAATTAGAAATGAATCAAATTAATTTTTGATTTTTAATCGAATTGATATGTACACAATCAATGATGGATCTATTATGCATTTTTTTTTTATTATAAAAGAACCACCTAAATAAAATTTCCTCTACATCAGTTTCAAAATCAAAAAAAAAAATAAATAAATAAATAAAAATAAAAACACCTCTTCTTCAATTAATCATTTCATAACGAATAATGGATCAAACTTTTACCGTTCAATATGATATTATGATAACTTTGACCAATCTGATTTCACGGGATTTATCGATAATGGATTTAATCATTTACAAGCAACGGATGATGCAAATCAGATGGACCAACCTTTAAATAATCCAGTCCAATATCATAACCTTGATTCTTACAATTACAATGATGATTCCTTTTCCGTGACTAACGAAAACATTTATCAAACACCTTGTGAAAATGATTATTCTCTTGATACTTTTGGTTCAGCTTCTCAGTATTGTCCAATGATTTCCTCTTACGAATCACAATATATCAACAACCATGATGATATTAGTGAACAAGGAACCTTAAATCAGAATCTACCACAGTCTATTGGCTCATCTCAACCACAAATGAATCAATGTGCAATCTTTAGATTCGAAATTCCTGGATTTGATATAATTATTAGACCAAAATCCAACTCATCCATGGATTTTAATTATCTGGACACACAATATCAACTTCAACAAGATCAATCCTATCCTTCCGTCGTAACTACGTCATCGCCAAATCAAAATTTCATCTCTGCAAATTCTGTAAATCCTATGAATATGCAAAATCATCATATTATTCATAACGATAATATTTTTTACAGTCAATAAAAATTACCCTGGGTTAAATAATTTGACTAGTTGTATTAATATCAATTTTACGTTCACCTCGTTAAAATTATTTATTTTTGAAAGTGATTTATCTTTTATTGTCTTGGTAAATAAAATTATCATTTTATTGACACTTGTATTTCTGTAAAAAAAAAAAAAAAAAAAAAAAAAGAAAAAAATTTTTTGCGCGCCGAAAATCTTATATTTAAATTAAAAGATGTACTGTACATATTATATTAGAGAAAATAATTTTTTTTTAAACTATAACGATAAAGTTTAAAAAAAAAAAATCTATACGTTCCATAAAAATATAAAATTTTTTAGCTTTTATTTCCATTCTAAGAGATAATCGAAACGAGAAAGACGAATGGTAAATTATCGATGTTCAAAACGTACGTAATAAATTAAATTTGCAAAAATGTTAGATATTCGAGAGATAATCGTTTAGAGTCAATTCATAGTTACATATTCGAGAAATAATTGCCTAAGTCGTAAAAAATATAAACTTAAAATGTCATATAATTGAGAATTGTGAAAAAATAAATTCAGATTGCCAATTTGCCAAATGCCATATGATGAATGAATTCGAAAATTTAGTGTCCTAACTTTTTAAATGTATGAAATTAATTAATGAATATAATTAGCATATAAACCAGTAATGTTCTAAAGTCCTTAGTGTAGTTTATTTCAAAACTGTTGGAATTGAAGCTGCGAATCATCGTTTGTAAATTGATTATTAACGTTACGTAAATTAATAGGATTTACAAAATTTCCGTTAGAAGTAGTTCCATCAACGCTAGAGATATAATTCTGCTGTCGATTTACCGTGGAAAAACAAGAATGCGGGCAAGGATGAGAGAGATATTGTTGTTGAGGAGAAGAATTATTAACGGCATGGTTTCTGTTATTGACCATGATAGGTCTACGATTTTGTTCAAAAGGCGGATGATAAGGATGCATCCTATTTTGAATCCTTCCGTTGGATTGTTCATTCTGTTGTCGTCTTTGTAGTCTGTCATTTCGCATTTCTAAACTAGATTGATTTAAATTCGTCAAAGGTTTCTGTCTGAAAATAATTTCCATCCCGGAAATTTCGAGTCTAAATAGTTCATGACAATTGATGTTGGATGGAGAATATTGCGTCGTAGAAACATGACTTTCATTAGACCGATGTTCAAGATTATCTTGAATTGTATATGCATTACCATGATTATGGGTATAGTGCGGGGGAGACTGTTGCATGATGAAAGGACCATCTTCATTAACGTTATTATTGATATATCGTGCCGCAGGAGAGTCGTTTTTGAAATATTGTGAAGTTGAAGCACTATTTACATTATCTACAAGGGGCATCCGTTGCTGTTCATTGTTATTCGGAATGGGATCATAATTTCTGGTCGTGGCTTGTGTATTTAACGGTCTATTGCAAGCGGATGAAGCGTATGTACAATTACAGGGACTATTATTATAATGGGCTCGTGCATTTAAGGACGATTGCTCCATTTGAGTTAGGTCATTGTTTTGTTTTAACCTATTGGAATGATAATTAGCACCGTTATTAATGGAATCAGGAATAAATGTATCAAGTCCATTTTGTTCGCAATCATTAGGCCCGTTGTCAATGATTTCGGAAGCTAAACTTTCCTGTCCTTCATCTTGTTCAAAGTCATTATTATATAAAAGTGTCTGATTCATTTTCAAAAAAAAAAATAATAATATTTATTTATTTTTGTTTTTTTTTTAAAAAAATGTAAAATTACCAAAAAACTTTTTTTTTTGTTGTAAGGGGAAAAAAAGTTAAGAAGGAGGGTAGTAGGAAGGAATTGTGCGCTTTTAAATAGAATTCTCTTGATAATATTTTTAATGTGTTCTACTTTCCTTGTTTTTTTAACGGTTTCTATTTTAGGTATAACCTATATTCGACCATATGATATTGTGCATCACATAGATATTTCCATTTTATATATGTCCGTATTAACTTGGTATAACGTACTTTTAATACACAACGTTATCTTACCATTAATTAGCTAAAGTTTTTTTTATTTTCTTTCTTTTATAAAAAGGGATTATTTTGATTTCGACTAAAGAAAAGGATTTTTTTAATTAACGGCACCAAAAAAAAAAATGAAGTTGGGAATATTTTTTGAACCTAACAAAATGTGATAAGGAGATAGGAGGTGACTATATAGGTTTGACTGTTCTTATTGTTCTTATAATTTGACCCCAGTGAAACGGAATACTGGACACTTTTAGTAAAATAAGCTCAGAACATTATCTCAAAAAAAAAATTTTGTTGGAGTTTCCAAATGAGGTTTTTCGGTTAAATTCTTACCGGTTCGGATAAATATAAATGCTTGGAATTTTCCAAAGAATATGTATCTTTTTTGGTACAAATCAATGATTACTGCGAGGCTGTCACGTGATTGGCTGATCGAGAATTCAATCAATTAAAAAATCTACGATGTTCTTGTGGTTTGGACATTGCTTTTGTCTTCTATAAATTTATTTATATGGAGAATTAGGTAGAATGTTATCAAAATCCGAGATTTTCAATTGAAACTACCACCCGAAATTCAAAATGCATCAGAAATAAATTTATTTTTTTTTTCCTTTGTAAAAATTACCTAAACCTTTCTCATTCAAAGAAAGTGTTTTTAATAACTCCGAGGGAAGGTAAAAAAAAAAAAAAAAAATTTGATGCGCGAATATTTCCAAATGCAGCAAAGATGATCCACAAATAATTTTTTTTTTTAAAAAAAAAAATAAAATAAAAATAAATAAAATGATTTTTTTAAATATTACTTCCAAACGTTTATTTCTCAAAAAATCAAATTTTCGATTACGAGAAATTTTTCCTAAAATGTCGAACAATCAAAATTATAACCGTAATTATAATGCTTCTTCGTCTTCACCCCAACAGGTACAACGATCAAACGAATGGCCAAAAAAATCTAATACATCCCTTCCGTCAAAAGAACAACTATCAATTTCAGAGGTACCATATGTTGACTCACACACGCATTTACATTACGTTTTAGAAAGACTACCAGACGTATTCAATGTAACCTCTTATGAAATATTAAAACGGGATCATTTTCCATCAAATTTTGAAAGTTGTATAAACGTATTATGTGATCCATTATCTTTCACTTCAAATGAAATATTTCCAAATACATTTATGGATTGGCAAGTAATGGCAAAGACATCATTCATGTATTTAGCAGCTGGAGTACATCCGCATAATGCAAAAGATTATAATGATTATGTTGAAAATAATATGATGAGTATCCTTAAACATCCGAAATGTGTTGCATTAGGAGAGATTGGTCTGGATTATCATTATAAAAATTCCCCAAAAGATATTCAAAAACGTGTTCTAATAAAGCAAATTGACAAGGCTATAGAATTGGAAAAACCTTTAGTTATACACACTCGTGAAGCCGAAGAAGATACTTGGGAAATATTAAGTAATCATGTACCCAAAGAATGGAAAATTCATGTTCATTGTTTCACCGATTCTCCTCAATTTGCAAAAAAATTATTGGACCATTTTCCTAATCTTTATATCGGTATAACTGGCGTTGTTACTTTTGGTTCTGCTAAGAATACTCAAAATATTATTAAATGTATTGTTCCTTTAAATAGAATTTTATTAGAAACTGATGCTCCTTACATGATTCCCTCCAAATTAAATAGAAATAAGAAATCTAATAAAGTCACTATTTGTCATTCTGGAATGATTCCTTTGGTCGCCGAAAAAATTGCTCAACTTAAAGGAATCGAATTGGATGAAGTCATGAGACATGCAAGAGAGAATACAAGAAATATGTATGGCATTTAATATGAAATATTATTATTAAGGTATTTGTAGAAGAAGCAAAGTGGGGTATTATTAGAAATAACTATTTACATCTTGTAAATTTACATTATTAAAATAAAAAGTAAAAAATATATCATATGTAATCTTTGTTAAGGCAGTAGTTATACATTATGCAGTAGAAATGAATTTCTTTAATTATCTGTTTAAGTTTATCTTTAAATGGGATTTGCTTTAAGTTCAGAGAAATCTTTTTCCAATTCATCTGAATATGGCAACGAATCTTCATTTACATCATCACCAGAAGCCTAAAATATAACAATATATATTCATATATATACACACACTAAGGAAAAATCAAATCTCTACGCTTTATAAATAAATTTTTTTTTTTTCAGCACATACGCATAATGAAGCCCAACGCCGAAATAATCTGTCATTCAGTACGAAATGTTTTCCAGTTTTAACTGGGTAACAACCATTTGGATGATTTTTACAGGAATCCACGTATTTCGACTTGAGAACGCTTAGTGAGCTTTCATAACGAGATTTAAAACTTTCGGGCTCATCCTACAATAAAAACATGATTAGGTAAAGAAAATAAAGAAAAAAAAAGTAAGATATAATAAAATAGAATTATCAAAAAAAAAAAAAAAAATTATCACATCATCTGAATGTGATTCGGAGTCCAAAAGTCGTTTTCGACGTCCTATATAAACAGGAAAAAAAAATTAGATACTTTTGAAACTAAAATTAAATGATTGTATTTGTAACGGAGATAATCAAATACTTTTTCTATCGGGAATATAACCACGTGACGATTCTAATTATTTAATACAAGTTAACATAATTTGAAAATTTATGAAAATTCAGAAAAGTTAACGAAATATTACTTTTAGGAGGAACATAATCTTCATCATCATCTGAAGCGGATATAACCATTGGATCAACTAAACGAGAGGTAAATTTAGAAGTGGAAGGTTCGTAATTCGGAGTATCGAAATCAAGTGTTTCGTCTACAAGACATGACAATGAATAATAAAAAAAGTAGTTTGACTTATTGTGATCGATTCGATACATTTCTCACCAACTAATTTTTTCGACAAAATGGAATCCTTCCTGCCAATAGAATCATCATCGACCATAAAAGGACCGAGTAAAGCAAGTGCAGTTTCAGCAGGTCCAGGAAATTTATTAGTCGAAGAAAAAGTTTGCAAAGATAAATTGCTATAAGACCCAAACTGTGGATTAACCTTATTCGAATGGGGGAACTCTGAATTGTTTTTATTGATCTCAATGATCGATCGTTCTCCGTTCCCTTTACCCTTATCTTTCCCACTAGGAGCCAATGGAGACGAATCACCTCCGATCTTTGAATTACCTTCAACTTTGATCTGACTCATCAATCGTTTAACTTCCGGGTGTTTTCGGACTTCATCCCAATCCTTGACATTCAATACGAGTTCTTGATACTTCTTGAGAGCCGCGATATACCAATCTACGCTTTTAGAGTTATTCGTATCTTTCTTAACACGAACGTAATTACAAAGGTTGGTTACAGATATTGGAAATATTGAATTGTCGGCGTTCCTCCAGCCTCTTTCTTCGGCAAGAATTCTAAATGAACGTCCCACTGATTCATAATAAGGTACTGACTTTTTTCTCAACTTTTTGGCTTCAGAATCTGCAGAATCCGAGGATGCCCCTGATAAGTCACCACCGCTTTTTACACCTGAAACAATTGGATGTAAAGTTGGCGTAAAAGAAGATCCTGGTATATTAAGAGGAATTGCGGCTACTCCGGCGGCTACTCCTTCCACTACAACTTCCTCCGTATCTGATTCATCTATCGTTGAACCTGTACTGGGAGTAACCATATTTAATGCCTTGTGTATTTGTGGTGTAGAAAATGTTGACGTTGCCAAATGTTGAAGATTCTTAGCTGAGCTTTTATTGGTTTCTCTAGATATACTTTGCATGCTCTATGTTATAATAGGTCGCGTGTAAGTTGATTTTTTTAAAAAAAAAAAAAAAAAAAAAAAAAAATAGACATTCTCAGAGTCACATTGTTGTTTATGCATTTAGTTTGAATTTGTGAAACACTCACTCTTGTGTGCAGAAGAAAGTATTCGCGATACTTTCTGTCCTACTGTACACGTGATAGTCTGAACTTGAATCTGAGAAAGTGTCGGAAAAAAAAAAAAAAAATACTTATTAATTTTTGATGGGTTACACCAAAATAACGTCCAATAAAATTCGTCCGAAATAAAATCTCGTATGATAAATTTCATAACTGAAAATATGAACCGTTTTGTAATAAAAATTAATGCGGTACATACCAGAGGAATGGATGCCAAACGAGCCAATTCCGACGTGGCATAAGGACTCGAAGCTTAATTATTGTTGGCAAAAGGATGTCGTGTCATGTTAACCTCAAATCTATAGACCGAAGTGGTTTAATTTTGAAGAAATCAGCTTTTCACTGTAGATATAAGGCGGATCCCGTTGAGCTACTAAGTAACTTCAAAAAAAATGTGAGGAAAAAAATCGCCCATGGGATAATTATAAATGAAAATGGCTTATGGAGCGCATTGGACAAATATGATATCTAATGAACATAAATTGTCCAATTGCGCTCCAAAACGTCGCACATCTAGCATGCGAAATCGTTGGTAAGTTTCTCAAGATAACCAAAGAAGAGCTTCTAAGCATTGGTTTAGGTTTTGCGACGGCTGTAAAGCTTGCAGACTTTCCAAGGAGCCTTTACATTTACTGCAACATAATATTGAATAATTCCCGTGAATTTATTATTATTACATCAATTTTTTGTTACAGATTAAATGGAAGATTGCGAATATTTTTTAACATGCAACATAAAACATACAGTATTTCACATCACTTGAAAAATATAAATTATACTATATATCAAATATCTCGCGCTTTCTTGGTAAATTTAGTGCCCTTAGGGCCATTAGGGGAATAAACCATTCTAGTTGTCATAGACTGAGAAGTTTCATCATTTTCGCCTTCAATCCATAGAAAATCTTTTATTTTTTGCGAACTCCTGAATAATAATTGCTAATAATTCATAAATTATTGGTTTATATTTAAACTCTATTTTTTCTGCAATCCATATATACAAACCTCATAATTCAAGAAACCAATTACAGTTTCATGAGCTTTCTTCATGTCTTTCCATGTTCGTGGTAGAGGAAATTTTAATACCTCACGTACAGTGTAAATTTCGGAGTATTCAAGTCGGAACTCATAGACGATAAGCTGATATACTGTAAACTAGAGTTAATAATATGTGATGTAACACAAACCATTTATTAAGACCTACAATAAAATTGCATTCCATATAATTGCACGATGCTGATGTCCGAGTTTGGACAAATCATTGCATATCTATTCATGAGCATCTTCAGCATCTTGATTATTTTCATTCGATCCCCCGTGAAATGTGACCAATCTTTCCGAACTGATCTCTGTGACCGAAAATTCTTCGTTCTCTTCTTTAACTATAACAATCGATAGGGGATCGGCGATGACCACCCCCTTTTTGAGAATTTTGATCATCCGCACTTGCCTTAAGACAAGTCTCCCCGTACTTAACGTACCAATCTTTCTTATTATTAATGAAAATTTTGTTCAATATTGGTGCCAAAACCATTGTAATGAATGTCCCCTCGGATAAATCTTCCAGAAGTACATTATTTTTATCCATGAGTTCGATCCTATATAAACAATGAGTTAGTCACCTGATTACCGATTCTCAAGCAAAAATATAGACACTTACATATGATTAATAAAATATAGCGTGAACTTTTTTTCAAAAGAGTCATTATGTTCTCTTTGTTGTTTAAGATTTTCTTTCGTTTTGTGGATATCGCGATCAATAATTTTGCTTAATAATGATCTAATATCTTCTTCTTCTGCACCTTTTATTTCTTCCATTATTTCCTTATTTATCAAAATATTGAAAAAAAAGTGATAAATGGATCTCTATATTAAAAGAAGATTCTAAAGAAATTTTTAGGTATAAAAGAGTTATATTTCTAAAACTTGATTATATCATGAATTTATGGGTAGAAATATAACGGTAAATGAAATCATTCTAACAGATTTATTAATAAAAGAAAAGGCAAGATTTTTGTCAATATACTTAATATGGGAGTGTTTCTAGGAAAATCAGGTTCCGAGAAATTTTTGACTAAAATAAAGAGCTTAATACATTTTAATC